GGACAGTGCAGGGAACCTGGAATTCACCCAGCAACAAAGAGTTACTGTAGGGAATGTAATTCCCTCCCCTTCCCAGCTCCCTTTCTGGGTCCTAGACAACTCCCTGGGGCAGCCTGGCCCAGCACTCAGGGCGGTTCTTGCGCAGAAGCCTGTCAGTGCGGGGTGGAAAGGAGGAGCCCGCAGGATCCCTGGGAGGGGGAGAAGGGCGATTTCTAGGGGGACCAGGGACTGTCCCCAAATCCGAAGGGGACGCGGGGGCGGCGGCGTCCTGGCCCCCCAGGGAGCCTGCCCGGAGCTGCAGGGGGCGCGTTTCTCTGACCCGGGCGGTGTGTGGGATTGGCTGGGCCGGTCTCTATAGGGAGCGAGGAGGGATTTCGGGCGGGGCGGGGTGTGGGGCGGGGGGGTCCGTCGCTGCTGCCCCCACAGGGCCCCGGTTCGTGCTGGGAGGGGCCGGGCTGCGCTCGCTCGGCCTCTGTTTACCTTCCCGGGTCAGATCCTCCATTGTGAGCCGGGAGCCCGGGCTGAGCCGCTGCTGCTCCCCGGCGGGGTCCGCGCGGGGCGAGACCGGCACTAACCCCCCTCCCCGCCCCGGGCTCTGCCCGCCCCAGCCCCCGAGCCGGAGCCTGCAGGTGATGGGGGGACCCGGGGGAAGGGCCGGGGCCGGGCAGGAAAGTGACTCTGCACAAGCGGCCCCAGATCTCGCCGCCCCGGGCAGCTGCTCCCTGGCTGGGAAGCGCCTGGCGGAGGGACCGGAGCTGCGGCCCCAGCAGCGAGTCGCCGCCCGGCTCTGCCCAGGATCTGCTCCCGGGGCCAGCTGGGGGTTCAGGCAGGGGGGAGAGCGGCTGGGGGGGCGTGGGGGGGCCCCAGGGGGGTTCCCTGTTGTGTCCCTGGGGCTGGGCTGTCAGGGAGGGGAGAGAAATGAGACTGAAATGGGGGGGAGGGGGAGGTTATTGTTCATCTGCAAATGTAACCCCGCTACAAACCTCCGAGCCCCTCCCTCCCCTGAGACAGGCCCCTTCCTGCCCAGCGATGGGTGAATCTCCCCAGCACTGAACTGCTGCTGGGCCCTGTTTGCTCCATCAGAGACACCTGCTCCGAACGGGGGCAGGATCCTGGTCTACTGAACATCCCAGAGTGTGACTTGCTCACAGACTGTCTGTATCCTAATACAGGGGTTTCAACCTTTTTCTTTCCGAAGCCCCCACAACGTGCTATAAAAGCCCCACGGCCCAGCTGTGCCACAACAACTGGTTTTCTGCATATAAAAGCTGGGCCTGGTGTTAGGGGATAGCAAGCCGGGCAATTGTCCAGGGCCCCACACCACAGGGGTCCCTGCAAATCTAAGTTGCTCAGGCTTCAGCTTCAGCCCCAGCAGGCAGGACTCCGGCTTTCTGCCTTGGGCTCCAGCGAGTCTAACACTGGCCCTGTTTGGTGGACCCCCTGAAACCTACTCGTGGCCACCCATGGGGCCCTGGACCCCTGCTTGAGACCCTTTGTCCTAATGTATGCGTGCGAGGCAGCCTTAATAACATGCTTTTAGTGTAGTGTGTGGGGGTTATCTTGATATCAATCTGTTCATTTTATTTCTCTTCTATATAAATAGGCTTGGAAGGATGAGATTTTGGGAGGGGGGGGGGTAAACGTCAGTTTCACCCTACACACACAAATGGATGAAAAAGCATTTCCATGAATAATAATCACAATGTACAGCTAGGCAAAGTAAGAAAAAAGCTGCTTGAGAACTTCTTGCAGTGTGATTTAAGCATATATATACTGTGTGCGTGTGTATGTGTGTGTGTGTGTGTGTATATATATATATATATATATATATATATATATAGGCACATTTTGACATGTGATACTGATCATTTGTGTTTTAATGGTTATAAAGCTTTAACTTTTTTAGTCCCAATGTCTACAGTCATATAATAACAGGTTTCATAGTAGCAGCCGTGTTAGTCTGTATCCGCAAAAAGAACAGGAGTACTTGTGGCACCTTAGAGACTAACAAATTTATTAGAGCATAAGCTTTCGTGGGCTACAACCCACTTCTTCGGATGCATAGAATGGAACATATATTGAGGAGATGTAATAATTATTGTCTGACCCACCCCATAATTTCCCAGAACTGTGAAAATTCAAATAAAAAAAAACAAAAAGAAATCCTGACAAACATTGATATTATCCATTGAAATGATTAAAAAAAAAAGGCAAATTCTGTCAAGCCTATGTATAAATATAGCAATACGATCACCCTAATCTAGCCCGTTTTCTCTCCATTAGAAAACTATTGCTTTGGAACCCCTCCGCTGTTTTTTTCTCTTTTCTCACTTGCCAGATTTTGATATAAAATCCCCTCAAAGTGTTTTCAGTTTCTCTATTTATAGACTAATATGTTATCTGTATAAATGTGCTTACTTATTTCTCTAAATAACCACTATTAAGGGAAAAAAAGATTTTGCCTTCTCTCTTCTAATTAGCTGGCATGTGAATCCTCTCGTATTTCCCTCATTTTCTGTCTCAGTTGTCGAATAGTAATATAAAATCTCAAAATTCACTGATATTTGCATTCTAATTTTTAAATTAGATAAGATTTCCTCAGTTTTGAAGGAGAGATATTGAGCTGAGTCATTGATTTGGTTATGAAACGAAAATATCAGGTTCTAAAAGCTTCTTGAATCTAGCAGAGAAAGACATCAGGAGAAAGAATGTCTGAAAGCCAGAGAAATTCAAATGGAAAATTAGGGTGATTAACCACTGGAAAAAAACTACTAAGGGGAAGCGGTGGATTCTCCAATTCTTGAGTTCAGGAGCTCAGACTAGATTTTCTAAGTTCAATGGTCTCTTCCCCTTCTGGCTTTAAAAATCTGTGACACCAAATGGAGATTGATTGGATGGGGGATTAAATCCCTAATGATCAAAGGAAAATCACTGAGCGCTAGATGTACAGAGACTTAAGCATTACTTTTAGGTGTGAAGCCACAACCCTGATTTAGGTTCCCAGGCTCCCTGTATTATACCTGGGCAGAGCTAAGCACCTAAAAATGGAATCCACAAAACAGCATGGTGACTGGGGAGCTAGCCAATGGGAAATGCTGCGGAGAGGGTTGGATCATATGTCCCTGCCCCTCAAAGGGACTTAAATGGCGATCTCTGCTGAGTGATTCCTAGCCCTGAACCCTCTCCTGGAGTTTGGTGCATAAGGCTATGGGGTACATCCCTCAGTCTCGCCCGTTGAAGCTGTTCCACCATGTAGAAATGGTTACATAAGTGTTGGGTGAGAGAGAGGGAGACTGACCCCAGCCCTGGGGCAGGGCGCTCACTTGGGTTTTAGGAGACCCAGGTTTCAGGCCCACTCCTCCCATGTCTATTTAGACTTTTCTTGTTTGGGCTGACCCAGCCTCTCCCCTTTGTGTACTTTTTCCTAGCAACATTTGTTGTTCTCGGTGGTTGTAACTTTGTATAAACTTTCACTCTCTTTCTGAAAATGGAGCTCCCCACAGGGGTAGGACTGCCTGATCCCAGTGACTACAACACATCCTGCAGGGGGACGGGAAACCCGTTCAGAGAGGGGAGTTTCAGGGAGCTGCTGGTGGGTTTGTGTTAGAAGGGCTGGAGCAGGAAATACACAGGGCGAGGGAAGTGGTGACAGAGTGGGGAAAACCTGCTGGGACATGTTCAGTCTGTGGCATAATGTTCAGAACAGGCCCTTTGGGGGGATGGAAATTCCCCCATTTGTGGAACAGGAAAGAAACCCACTGGGCAGGGCTGGGAAAACGAACCAGACTCCCAGTGCTGGAGCCTGAACCCACTAGCCAGAGGCTGCTGTGAAATTTGAAGGGGGCACCCAGCAGTGAAGCCCAGCAGAGTTGCCCCGTCCCCTCCCACCCAGCTGTTGGGAGGAACTGTCACGGGTTCTGGAACAGCTCTGAATCAAACCCAGGCAGGACCCTCTGCTGTGTGTCCCCTCCTCCGGGCACACACCCACTTCCTGCTTGGCTTCAGCGCCACCTCGGAGCCTTCAGCACCCCTGTTCCACAGCGTAAACTCCCGCAGCGAGCCCACCTGGGGGAACACCTTACACCCCCCTGAAAGGGGAGTCCTGCACCCCCAACTTCCGCAGTGACTCCCAGCCCAGTGCTGTAAAACAGAAGGGTTTATTTTAGTTCTCTGGAATACAGCGTGGAAAAGTTCTTTGTTAGCTCAGAACACAAAACGTTACAGCAAAGCCCATCTTGGTCAGACCCAGAGCCCAAAGTCCTGGTTCTCCCACCTCTCCCCTCCCCCGACCCAAAAAAGGAGAGTGACAGCCCACCCTCAGTCAGAACTAGTTACTGCTCTTCCGTCCTTTGGTCACCCGGCCTCCACCTCTCTCTCTGTTCTCAAACTTGTCGCAACTGGCTAGCTTCTTGCAGAGGGTGCCTCCACCCTACCCCCCCAGCCATCCGTTTCTAATTTACAAAATGTCTGTCCATTGTCTGGGACCGGGCAGCTAGATGACAGTCACACCTGGTCCCCTAGGGTTCGCTGCGAAGATCAAACACCTTTGCAACAGGCAGGGGAAACTGAGGCACATGCAATGTTCATACAAAACATTTAAGAAAATCCCCTGCTTTGTCACAGCCTCAAAGCCTGTATAAGCCTCTGGCTAGAAGGTCTGAGATAAATGGGAAGGCCCCTGCCATCCTCCATCCGCTGGGGGGGGACAAGGGGCTCTCTCTTTCTCCCCTCCCTGAAGCCTCCTGGCTGCTCTGAGCAGAGTGAGGGTGGGATTCTGCTACCCTTTCCCTCCCCACCCCCCAGAGCTTCCATTTTATCGGCCCTCCTCCCCCATGAATAGTGGGATTGTAGCTGGAGCAGCAGGTGCTGAGTGGGGGACTCTCATTGTTTCAGGTGCCGGTGAGCTTCGAGGAGGTGGCTGTGTATTTCACCCAGGGGCAGGGGGCTCTGCTGGACCCCGCTCAGAGAGCCCTCTACAGGGACGTCATGCAGGAGAACCATGAGAGGGTGACCTCGCTGGGTAAGGGATTCCCGTCTCCATGGTTATTAGAAGCTTATGAGGGGGGAGGTCTATGATGTGGCCAGTTTGCCTTCTGCTCAGGTTCTTCCCAAGTCCCTTAGGTTACGTCTACACAGCATCGGGGAGGTGGGATTCCCAGCTCAGGGGGATTTACATGCACTAGTTCTGCTAGAGCTAGCCCCTAAAAATAGCGGCACAGATAGCGGCTAGGGCTAGACACCTGAGTACATGCCCAGGTGGAGGGCAGGATTGTACTCAGGTGGCTAATCCGAGCCACAGCCCGTGTTGCCTTGGCCACATTGCTATTGTCAGACACTAGTGCTTGTCCATCTACCAAGCTGGGGATCACACCTCCCAGCAGCTGTGCAGACAGGCCCTGCGATTTCAGGGGAATGACCCCCAAAGTCCCCACAGCCCGTTTGACAGACTTTGCTCCCCACTCCCCCAGCCATGGGATAGGAGAGTCGGAAACACAAGGGAGACCTAATTCATCTCTATCCTGCATCCTTTGAAGTGGCAGAAGCATTGTATTGTCTGTATTCATTCATGTCTCTTCCCCTCCCTTCCTGGGACCAGTTCCATTCTTGGGGCAGATGTCACCCACCCACGCTGATGGAGATCTGGCAGGAGCTTCCCTCCCCAATTTTACTTCCCCCAGGGTGTTTGGAAGGGATGTGGAGGCAGAATCCAGTTTCTCCTTTGTGTGTCCCTGGTGCTCTGTGTTGTCTGTTAGAACTAGGTTATTTCTTCAAAGCAGGGAGGCTCCATTTTTTCTTTAATTTATTTTTAAAACCTCTGTTCCTGGCTTCACCCTGTGGTGCTGTTGTTGTACCTGGTGCAGCACAGTGTGAAGCTAGAGTGAGAGAGAGAGTGTAAAAGAAAGAAGCTCCTTTATGTTCGGACGATGAGAAGGAATATCCCAGTTTTAATGGACTATGGAGCACCAGGGACCCACTTCAGAGAAGGAAAAATTACAGAGGGATTAGTAAATGTTTCCTTTCTTAGTCTCCCCAATGGTTGTTATGTTGTGTTTCCCCTATTTGCTGTTCCCCTTTCGTTCCTTTCTCCCCGGCACGGGGGATGACTCCTGTCTGGATTCTCTCTCTGTATTCCAGGGGGTGCAGGGATGGTGAGTGAGAAGGAGAATCCACAGCGGGAAAATTGTGAGGACGTGGATCTGCAGGGAACAGTATTGGGAAGAACCGAGGGGAATTTTTACCAGGATCGTAAACGAGGAAAACCTTGTGGAACTCAGCGCAGGTCGGAGAGGCTGCTGGGATGCAACCCAGGGAAGAAACCGTGTGAACCCATAAATGATGGTGGAGATTGCAAGGACCTCAAGGAAAGCACAGCCAAGCAGAGAATGCCCAGAGAAGAGAAAAAAAACACATGCAGCGAGTGTGGGAAAATCTTTATTCGGAGGTCACATCTTATTTCACATCAGAAGGTCCACACAGGAGAGAAGCCCTACAAGTGCCTTGTCTGTGGGAAAGTTTTCAGTCAGAGCTCAAATCTTATTTCCCATCAGAGGATCCACACAGGAGAGAAACCCTATAAGTGCCTTGTCTGTGGGAAAGGTTTCAGTCACACTGCAAACCTTATTTCACATCAGCGGATCCACACAGGGGAGAAACCCTATAAATGCCTTGACTGTGGGAAAGGTTTCAACCAGGGTTCAAACCTTATTAGGCATCAGAGAACCCACACAGGTGAACAACCTTATAAATGCCTGGAATGTGGGAAAAGCTTCATTCAGAGCTCAGATCTTATTAGGCATGAGAGAACCCACACAGGTGAGAAACCCTATAAATGTCTGGACTGTGGGAAAAGCTTTGTTCTGAGCTCAGATCTTATTTCACATCAGAGTGCTCACACGGGAGATAAACCCTATAAGTGCCTGGAGTGTGGGAAAAGTTTCAATCAGAGCTCATACCTAATTTCACATCAGCGAACGCATACAGGAGAGAAACCCTATAAATGCCTCGAGTGTGGGAAAACATTCAGCTGGAACTCAAATCTAATTTCACATCAAAGAACTCACACAGGAGAGAGACCATATAAGTGCCTGGACTGTGGGAAAAGGTTCATTGACAACACAGCCCTTATTAAACATCAGAGAATGCATACAGGAGAGAGACCCTATAAATGCCTCGACTGTGGGAAAAGTTTCAGTCGGAAATCAACCCATATTGGACATCAGAGAATCCACAAAGGAAAGAAACCTTGAATGTGGGAGAAGCTTCAGCTGGGGTCAGTTTGTATCACACATCAGGAAAGTCATACAGGGAATAGACCTCTTAAATATCTTTAACATGGAAAATGCTTAGAGTGGAATTGACATTAGAGACTCCTCACAGGAGAGAAATTCTATCAATTCCATCACTAGGATTGGCCATAGTTTATTTTAAAAAATCCAATTCCCCTGCATGTATCTTTGATTTCTTTCATGCTAAGTCAGACTCGGGAGGGCTGCAGATGAAAATGTTGCAGACCTGGAGGGAGAATTCAAATGAATCCCCCACACTGTGTGATTGTTCTGAGCTTAAATTCCAGTTTCCATCAAATGGGAATTTGGGTTTTCTCCTTTCATTAGGATGGTGTTAAAACTTTTGCAACCAACATGACAATATAAGAAGGCGCCGAATGAAGCAGGTCTTGATAGTTCAGAGGAGAGTATGGGTAAGTCTGTTCTCCTGATTTTGAATCAACTGGAACATGCTCTGGGATGTCACTATATATGAACCTGAAAGTTTCTTATAGTCCACCCTGTATTGTGGATTGTTCTCTATTTGCTGAAGGCCATTTGGTCACCTAGCAGTTTTGTTTTATAGTGCAGATTTAGTGGGGACTCCAAAAGACAAATTACCATTTGCCAGAACGCCCTTCCTTTATTTGTACCATTTTCCAAACCTTTGCCATGAGATCTTAGTGTTGTTTGAACAATGATTATTATACATCACCATCAGCACAAACACCAATGGGGCCCGTCTGAGAGTCGCAGGCCGAGAGGCAGAGACTGAAACAGGGAAGGAAGTTCCTGCTGGATTCCTGCAGTGACGTGAGATACAGTCGGGAGAGAGATCTGGATTCCTGCAGTGACGTGAGATACAGTCGGGAGAGAGATCTGGATTCCTGCAGTGACGTGAGATACAGTCGGGAGAGAGATAAAGGGCTGGGAAACTGCAGGGTTTTCTTGGAGAGCCAGATAGCCGAGGCTGAGAATTGTTAACTGCTGAACTGAAGCCAGAGAGAGACAGGAAATAGTCTGTGATCGCTGGGTGAAACTGTCCCTGAATCCCAAAGGGCTACAAATGATGCTGCTTGTGGAGTTACTGGTTGCATCAGTGATTCCTGGGAGGTCGAGACTGAGCAGAGATAGGAAGGAAACTAGAGAAGTCAACAGGCCTGGCCGGCCCTGAGGCCAGCTGACGTCCATCACTGCGACTGGAGGGCAATGGGGAGTCTGTGAACCAAGATTCTCACCCATACCCCCTCTCTACAGTGTCTTTTACTGAGATGACAGAGACTCTGTCTGTCACACTCACCCCACGCACGCCAAGGACGTCCCTGGGGGATAAAACCCTCAGCCAGGATTGGAGATGCCGCGCTGTTGTCTGACTCTCGTTAACCCGAGCTCCCTGGCTTTCCTGCTCTCACAGCGTTTGCTTCTCTGTGACTGAATCCCGGCGTCTCTAATGGAGCCGCTGCATTTTTCTGCCCACTGTACAACGTTGCTCCGTTGCTGATGCCTGCGGGAGCCGGGAGCAGCGCCGTGCTGGGCTGGGGCTGAAATGCTTTGCGCTGAGCTGGGCCCTGGGTGTGGGGAGGAGATTTTAGCTTTTATTTCTGGCTTGGAAAGAATAAAGTCGAATTTAGTTTCTCAAACTCCCAGAGTCCTTTGTCTTGAATCATGAGTAAAAATGGCCTTTAACGGACTCGGAGTCCACCTGGGAATCTTCTTTGAGGTGTTCTTTCCCCAACCCTGAGCACCACAGGCAGCACATCCCGGAACTGCCAGATCTATGTGTCTGTGGCAAAAATCCCTTTTCTGCAAGGGAAAATCCCCTCTGTCATTTCCTGTTCACCTGCCTTCTATCTACCACCATCTTCTGAGAGTTGTAACCACACAGTCCAACTGCCCAGCTCCCGGAATCAGTGGCGACCCCCTAAAATCCACCGTAGCTTAAACACGCCACCTCCTAGAACTCCTCCCAGTGGCGCAAGCCTTCTGGTTCACTGGTTCAAGGGGGCCCATGCTAGGTGTAAGGCATGACAGTCATAGAGTTGTTGGCCAGAAGGGACCATTAGATCATTTAGTCTGAGCTCCTATATAACACAGCTCAGAGAATTTCACCCAGATACTTCTATGTTGAGGCCAATAACGTGTGTTTGGCTAGCGCAGATCGTCCTGGAAGGCCTCAAGTCTTGATGTGAAGAGATGGGGAATCCACCACTTCCTTGGTCGTTTGTCCCAATGATTAATTATCCTCACTGATAAAAATGTGTCCCTTACATCCAGTTTGGGTTTGTCTGGCTTCAACTTCCAGGCATTGGTTCTTGCAATACTAACGAGCCCTTTAGCATCCAGTATTTTCTCTACCCAAAGGTACCCAAATCAACTCACCTGCCCATTTTAAGATAAATGGATTGAGTTTGTAACATCTCTCATTGCAAGGCACCTTTTTCAACCCTCAAATTATTTTTATGGCTCTGATCCCATTTTTCAACATCCTTTTAAAAATGTGGATACCAGAACTGGACCCGATATTCGGGTATTGGCCTCCCCAATGCCGCATGCAGAGGTAAATTCATCTCCCTGCTGATGCTCAGGGGCAGCAGGTTTGTATAATTTTTGGTGGTGCCCAGAAAGGGTCCAAGTCCCCCCCTCCCCCCCCCACACACACCTGCCTAAGGCTCTGGGAGGGAGTTTGGGTGCGGGAGGAGTGCAGGCTCTGGGAGGGAGTTTGGGTGCAGGAGGGGGTTCAGGCTCTGGGAGGGAGTTTGGGTGCAGAGTATGGGCTCCGGGCTGGGGTTGAGGTGGGGGAGGGGGTGAGGGCTGTGGGCTGAGGCAGGGGGTTGGGGTGCAGGAGAGGGGTGAGGTGCTTACCTTGGGCAGTTCCCTAAAGTGACCCGCATACCCCTCTGGCAGCAGCTCCTAGGCAGGGGGACCAGGGGTCTCTGTGCGCTGCAGCCCACAGGCACCACCCCCGCCGCTCCAATTGGCCACAGTTCCAATGGCAGAGCCAGCGCTTGGGGCGGGGGCAGCGTGCGGAGACACCCCCATCTGCCAAGGGGCCGCAGGGACATGCCAGCCGCTTCCAGGAGTGGTGCATCGTGCGGAGTGAGGGCGGGCAGGAAGCTGCTTTAACCCTGCTGCGGGGGCGGCAGGCGGGCCAGGGAGATGCTCCGGCGGAGGCACATGGGGGTGGCAGGCGGGGCCAGGAGAGAGACCCAGCCCCGAACATTGATGGAGCCGAGCCCCCATGCTCTGAATATTCCTAGAGCATGGGCACCATGGGCCCATACAACTCGCCCATGAAGGATCCCATTCGCTTTTTTTGCCACAGCAGCGCACTGGGAGTGGGAGCTCATGTTGAGTTGTTTCTCCACTATGATCCCAAATCCTTTTCAGAATCACTGCCACCTTTTCCTTAGTTACACCCTGCATTCCTTAGTCCTTGATGTACAGCTTGCTCTGTGGCCTTATTAAAACACATTGCGTTTGAATGGGCCCGACGCCCCTGTCCCCATCAGTCTTTACCCCTCTGTCAATGTCTGTCATCTTAAAATTGGATCAGCAGTGACTTTCTACTGACTTCCAGATCCCTGATGAAAATGTTGAGTAGTGTGAGGGCTCTAGAACCAATCCCTGAGGAATCCCACTAGAAACATCTCCATTGGATGATGATTTCCCAACTGACGGCTACTTCCTGAGATCTGTCATTGAGCCAGTTCTTAATTTATTTAATGTGTGCTTTACTGATACTGTCTAGTGGTAATTTTTTGACCAGACTGTCATGCAGTTACAAAGTGTTAAGCATATTACATTTACCCAGTTATCTTTATTAACCAAATATTTAATCTCTTCAAAAAATGAATTTTGTTTTTTTTTTACAAGACCTATTTTCCATAAAGCCATGTTGACTGGCATTAATTATGTTCCTATGCTTTAATTATTTATTAATTATATTAATTATTTTTTCTGTAATTTTGCCCAGGATTGATGTCAGGCTAAGTGGCCTATAGTTACCCAGGTCATCCCACTTGCCTTCTGGAATTCTTCAGGAATTTCCCTCTTATTCCACGATTTATTAAAAGTTAATATTTGGAGCAGAGGTCTTCTCAGGAAGCTCTTTAAGAGCCCTGGGATGGAAGTTATTCAGGCCTGCTGATGGAAAAAAGTTTATCCTTAGCAAATGGTGTTGAACAACCTCCTTAGTTACTAATGGACTGGAAAGTACTTCATCATCCTCATGTGATAAACACACATCACCCTGCTTCTTTCCAAATACAGAACAGGAATCTTTATTAAACACTTCTGCCTTTTTTGCATCCCTAATAACAATTTTACTATCTCCAGCTAGTAATGGGCCTATAGCATTGTTAAGATTTATTTTGCTCCTAATATACTTTACCAACTCCTTCTTACTGTCCTTAGCCCTGCCAGCAATGGGTTATTCCCTGATGTCTTTAGCTTCCCTTATCAATTTTCTACACTTCACAACTTCTAATGTATATCAATTGCTATCTATTTCCTTTTTTTCCCATTTGTTATATGTTGTTTTATTATTTCTAATTGCTGCTTCACTTCACCACTGAACCAGGATGGGATTTTAGGCAAAGTTGTTCTCTTTCTTGACTGTAGAATCATTACAGAGTTTTTTTTTCATTTGTGTGTATATGTTGTTGCCATCTAATAACTCTTCTTAAAGAAATCCCCATTTTCAATCACATTTTTTCTGTCTAATTTTTTCTTCCCGGTCAATTTTGCTCATAATTTTCCTTAGCTTTTGGAAATTTCCCCTTTTGAAGCACCAAGCATATATATGTTACTGGTTGGGACTAATCTTTGTTTACCCATATTGAATGTAATCATGTCATGATCACTGATCCTTAGGCAATCACCCACTTCCAGTCCAGTGATTATCCATCATGAGATCCAAATAATTACCTCATTTGAGGGGCAACATCTTTTGCTTTAGAAAACTGTGATAATTTTTAGACAATCTAATGATGTTTTACCCCTGGCTACATGAAACCTCCAGCATATGTCTTCCAAATTGAAGTCACCAATAACAACACAATTTTTCTTTCCAGACATTACAGACTGGTGCTTATGGAGTAACTCCTCTTGTTCTCTAATTTGATTGAATGGTCTATAATAGACCCACACCAGTGTCTTCTCCTGGACTTTATAAGTTAGCACATGAAGCCATGTACCAATGTTCTGATCCATACGGCAGTAGTGGCAGAAGCGTTCTCTCATATATGCTGATTTTTTATTAAAATGTCTTTGGCCCTGCATCTCGTGTAATGTTGGAATATGAGGAAAGCCAATGAATGAAAGATATTGACTGCAGAACTGAGCTGGATGAGGGGGGATATTGAGAATTTCAGGACTGCAGAAAATAAATGACAATGTAATAAGAAAATGACTAGGGCAAGAAATAACGCTGTTACTTAAGATTCACAGAAATGTGAATGATGGTTTGGTCATGGATCAAGAATAGATCAGAAATCACATGTGGTGATGCATACCAGAGTACCAAGCAACTAAAAATAGAGGAAGCCCGAGGCTGCATTGGCTAGTCATGGTGAAGAACATAGAATAAAAAGATTTAAAGATGATGGAAGCCAAGAATCTGATACAAGACAGAAGGTGGTGGGAAGACTTCATCCAGACCCATAATTGCTGATGGGCAGGAAACAAAGGAGAAGAAGACACTGAACCATATGCATGTAAGATCCTGCAGTTCCAAGTTATCAATCACTCTAAAACAGGTAATGGTGTCTTTCATACAGAACACCCCTCCCCCCGCCCCACCCACCTCTTTTGCTTGCAGAGATTTTAATGTT